AGGGAAATGGTGTCAAAGGCTTTACTAAATTCTAGGGAAGTAACATCCACAGCCTCTCCCTCATCCACTAAGCGGGTCATCTTGTCATAGAAGGAGATCAGGTTAGTGAAGCTGGACCTGCCTTTCATAAACCCATGCTGAGTGGGACTGGTCACCTGGTTGTCCTGTACATGCCACATGATTGCACTCAAGACGATCTGCTCCGTAACCTTCCCTGGCACTGAGGTCAGACTGACAGGCCTGCAGCTCCCCGGATCCTCCTTCCAGCCCTTCTTGTAGATGGGCATCACATTTGCTAACCTCCAGTCACTGGGACCTCCCCGGTTAGCCAGGACTGCTGATAAATGATTGGAAGTGGCTTGGTAAGTGCTCCCACCAGCAACTTCAGTACCCTTAGGTAGATCCCATCTGGCCCCATAGACCTGTGAGCATCTAAGTGGTGTAGGAGGTCACTAACCATTTCCCCTGAGATCATGGCGGCTTCATTCTGCTCCCTGTCCCCGTCTTCCAGCTCAGGGGGCTGGGTACCCCAAGAACAACTGGCCCTACTATTAAAGACTGAGGCAAAGAAGGTATTGAGAATCTCAGCCTTTTCCTCATCCTTTGTCAGTGTTTCCCCCTGCATCCACTAAAGGACGGAGATTCTCCTTAGCCCTCCTTCTGTTGCTAATGTATTTACAGAAACATTTTTTATTGTCTTTTACAGCACTAGCCAGATTAAGTTCTAGCTGGGCTTTGGCCCTTCTAATTTTCTCCCTGCATAACCTCATGACATCCTTGTTCTCCTGAGTTACCAGCCCCTTCTTCCACAGGTCATAAACTCTCCTGTTTTTCCCTGAGTTCCAGCCAAAGCTCTCTGTTCAGCCAGGCTGGTATTCTCCCCCGCCAGCTCATCTTTCAGCACACAGGGACAGCGTGCTCCTGCACTTTTAAGATTTCCTTCTTGAAGAATGTCCAGCCTTCCTGGACTGCTTTGCCCTTCAGGACTGCCTCCCAAGGGACTCTTGTCAACCAGGCTCCTAAAGAGGCCAAAGTCTGCCCTCTGCAAGTCCAAGGGAGCAGTTCTGCTGATCCCCTCCTGACTTATCCAAGAATCAAAAACTATCATTTTATGATCACTATGACCAAGACAGCCTCCAGCCACCACATCACCTACAAATCTTTCTCTGTTCACAAACCACAGGTCCAGTGGGGAACCTTCCCTAGTTGGCTCCCTCACCAACTGTGTCAGGAAGTTATCTTCCACACATTCCAGGAACCTCCTAGACTGCTTCCTCTCTGCTGTATTGTATTTCTAGCAGACATCTGGTAAGTTGAAATCCCCATGAGAACAAGGGTTAATGATTGTGAGACTTCTGCCAGCCGCTTCTAGAATACTTTGTCTGCCTCTTCATCCTGGTTGGGCAGTCTGTAACAGACTCCCACCACAGTATCTGCCTTGTTGGCCTTCCCCCTGATTCTTACCCATAAACACTCAACCCTATTGGCACCAGCATTAAGCTCTAGACAGTCAAAACATTCCCAAACATACAGGGCTACCCCACTGCCTCTTATTCCTTGCCTATCCCTTCTGAAGAGTTGATAGCCATCCATTGTAGCACTCCAGTTGCATAAGTCATCCCACCATGTTTCTGTGATGGCAACTATGTCATAGTTTTCCTGCTGCACAATGGCTTCCAGCTCCTCCTGTTTGTTGCTCATGCTGCGTGTGCATTGCTATAGATCAATCATTCATAAGCCACAGCCTTAATGCAGCCACAGTTGCATTTATTAATAACCAACCAGTGAATTTTCTACCTCTGGTCCAGTCTCCTCACACCTTCCTTGTATGTCTTCTTTCTTTAGTTAGTTAACCTTATTGCTTTTGCAATACTTGTGACAACATACCCTGCCTTCCGCTACAATACAGCAAACAACAGTATCACTATTCCTAGGGGAATTTTCAAGTCATTAGGTGTCCTTCTAACTCATTATCTGACAAACTTATTTGAAAAGCTGACATGAGTGAAAGTAAAAGATCCATTTCTGTTTGCGCTACAGCACCAAGTAATTTCAAAAGTAATTCCTTGTAAAGATGCCATATTTGGCAAGAGAGCTCCCTTTCAATAACCATCAATATACTTGGTGCCACCATCCCACAATGGACTAGAAAGCACCCAGAGTGACAAGACAGCTGCCTAATAAGGCCTCCTGAACTCTGAGCCTGTTACTGTCTTTTCTGTTTAAGTGGAAAATGGCTTATATGAAGTTTAGAAAGTCGTATCTCAAGAGGCTCACAGCAGAGCTCAACAGAGCACACCCTGGCCTCCAGTATCAGTCTTTTCCTTCCACACTTGACACAGGGGTTGATGAAAAATCATCAGAGTAGGCTTCAGCAATGAAGAGATCAGAAGAGTTACCCTTTGCTGGGGTTAAAAAAAAAAACCTCTCTCCTAGCACTTGGTGGTTCCCAAACGTGGACAACAACGTACATCAATTTCTCCATCCTGACACAGGGTTTCCTTTTTCTTCATCTCCTGTCACAGAATATGGGAAGCAGCAAGGTATGGTGTTTCCCCAATCACAAACAAGCAGGTCATATTCTTCATTTCTGAATCACCATGAGACCACTGTTAAGTGGTTCCTTTCCAAACTATGTCTGTCTTTTGCCTTTAGCTGGAAGTACGTACTTCACACTTGAAACTTCATACAGAAACGCACAGCTGCCTGTATCTTCAGACAGGCAGACTGCTCTTTTGGCTTCAATTCAAGTGCCTGCTTGTGCTTTAGTTAATAATTCTTCTCTTCAAAGGTGGCAGATCTTGGAACTCTCCTCCCTCCCAGAGACTCACATCCTTACATTCCTGCGCTGTACAGGTGGGGCTTCCAAAGCCATCCCCGTGTCACTGAGTGGATTCATATTTGTAAACAGTTCTTCTTTTCTTTTTCTTCTTCTGCTTAGATATTCACACCCTATTGCCCAATGCCTGTGGACTCATTTTTAGTAGGACTTATACTCCTTAACTACATTGGGTGAGCTCTTAAGCAGTACTTAAGATATCTAAACAGTTCTTCACATACAAGGTTCTTCCAGTAATTCTTCAAATCCCTTTTCTCTCAAGGGATTGTTAGTACTAAAACAAAAAAATTGGAAATTGCCTTTCCTTCATTCTAACCAGATAGTCACTCAGGCTATGGCATGTGCTCTGCACATTAGTAGCAGTTAAGCTATAAAAATGAACTAATATCTGTGTCACATGAGATGTATTCACATTTTCAGAAGTTAACTGAACACTAACAGAATGGTTATTTTAACTGCAATTTGCTACAGGTCTTCATTCCAGTCCTTCCAGTTCTTGAAGCATCTTACCAGTTCCATCATCTGCATCATTCTGACCAGTCTCCCAAATCTCTGATTTTGTCCCAAAGCCATCAGTGGCAGAAGACTCCGTATAGTCTGCAGGGTTAAATGTCCTAGAGTTTTAAAAGTTAAGAAATGGAAGAGAACATATGGGTCACTCAATGAACACAAGTGTCATCATTTTTAGTTGAAGTTGTATTAGATTTAACATCTCGATTTCCACATAATTTATCTTGATAGTTTTGGTTCCAAAAGAAATTTTTCCTCTATGAGCAGACACAGAAAAAAGGGAGAAGACAGAAAAGAAGTAAGAGGAGAAAAAGTGAGTAGACTGGAAAAAAACCTACTGTAGAGAAACTGAACCAAAACAACAATTCCTGAAAAAGCAGTTAACAGCATACCTACTCCTCCCAATCTGATAAAGCATTAGTTTATATGCACAATGATAAGCCCTTCTCAGCTGATAGTTTCTCAGCAGGTGGCTGACTGATGAGAAACCAGTATTGTATCCTTTGAGAGCAACAGACCTGCACAGGACAGGTGTCAGAACATCAGTAAGATTATTTCAGAATGCACTCCTGACGCCAATACCAAAACACACAGATGCAGCTAAAAGGTGAAAAACGATTATTGCAGGAAAACCTTTTTTCAGCTTATCATCTACAAACATGAACAAGAAGGATTACTAGAGAAGTAGAATTAGCCTTCTGTTCGTCATGACATCACTGATATTACATGAAATGTCATTAAAGGCAAACACTGAGTGAAAGTAGCTGTGACTACACTTCTATGAAGCAAGTTATTCCAACAAAACTGAGAACAAACTTTAGAGCTGCTGAGTAACTTCTTTTTGATTCTGTTTTAGGGTCCATGTATGTCCAGCTAAAGCATGAAACCTTAAAAACAGGAGGAAGTTTATAATCGCTAGACTTTCTGGGTTTATATAGAACTTGCACGTTCTGCATTACACTGAAACAGATCTATTTTTAAATTGACCTAGGACTATATGCACCACACAGAACTTTCAGCCTCCAAGGCACTATGTGGCTGGTACTAATAGGTACAAACAGGTTCTCCAAGTCTGAGATATTAACACTAAGTGAACATACATAAGGTTTGTATAGGTGTGGCTAGTTAGAAATACTGATTTAAGACAAAAATAATCCATTAATAATCTAACAGATTTGTGAATTTTAGCATCCATATTGGTTTATCAAACATACAGCAATATTAACACATACAGTGGCAATATTGTCAATTAATATTGCCACTGAGTTTGATCCTTGCCAAAATCTGTGCTCTGCATGTTTCTTACCCCATGCCTTGGGCTGAAAACCTCCCCGCTCCTCTCCCTCTGCCACGTCCAAACCCTAGGAGAGAAAACACCATTTAACAGCAACAGCAGAGGAGCCGCCAATCACTAGTCTGTCACATTAGAAAATACTGTATTTGAAGAAGAAAACTACTGTAGTTAAAGTTAAATATCATTTACCTCCCAAATTTCCTCACAGGAGAATTTGTTTCCCTAACACACGCAAGTAAGCCACAGTTCATCTAAGACTCTGTGTTTCAGTAGGACCTGCCGTTCTTCACTATCGTTTCTGTATCTAGTGAAGTAGCTCCAAATACCAAGAAAAGGACTTACCTAAAGACCCATCCTACATGGGACTGCTATTGCCAAATCACTAGACATTATTCAAAATTTTGTCTCTTCTTTCTCACTCTTGGTAAGATACTCCAGAATCCCAGCCTCCCTACATACACTAATCTCTCAAGAAACCCCCTGTCATTCCTAGTCTGTGAGGAGAAAGTACTCCATTTGCTTCCCTCTGACTCAGCCCACCTGTCCACCCCTACCCTCCTGTGCCTTCACCAACCTGTGACCACACATTCCTTCTGCTTCTCCCTTAATTATATAGTTACTGACATGAAAAATCACCCAATTCAAATTACTCAAACAACTTCCTTGCTATCACCCACAGGAATAATCATCTCTATTTTAACAACAACAAACATTTTTTGCCTCCTATTTTGGTTACCAGCCTCAGTTTACAAGCTTCTTGATACAGTGGATGGCTTTGTTTTTGCATGTTGCATAGTGCCAACAAGGCATGGAAATTTTTGTATTACTTAACCATCCATAAAGCACACGTCTACATAAACTGTTAGAAACTCTTTCTTAGATGTGGCATATTTCTACATAGATTTTTTTTTCTTCCCTTTTTTAGGACGTCAATATCCAAGGCTTTTCCAGTTTATTGGCTTTTTGAGGAAGACTATGAATATTACTTTGTATTACAAGAACAGGAGGAAGTCAAGAGCTGCAGACTGAGAACAAAGCAGTTTATTTTAATGACAAAATTATGTGGTAATTATAAGTCACCAAGCAACTACAAGTTTACCAGAGCACAAAAGTTATAATCCTAAATCACCAATACACTGGTTGTCCAAACTTCAGAATTACCCATGATAGGCTGTTCGAATTTGGATCAAAATTACCCCTTATTTTCAGGGGACCACCTAAACTGAATAACAGCAGTTGCTCCACAACATGGTAAAACCAGTTTAGGAAGTTCCTATTTTAATGACTTTCCTTTACCTCCCCTCACCACTCATTCTTCCCCTTGCCCTAGTTCACTGTCCAAGTGTTAAAAGACATTTCAGGACCTCTAAAATGTCTACTACCTACATTTTCTAGGACTTCTTAGAAGCATCAAAATAACAGGATAGCTTTACCCACATTTTGATGAAAGAGTTTACCCATATCCTATACAAGATGACAACTGCTCGCTACAGAAGAACCACAGAAACCTGAAGAGGAAGGATTCCCATCCAGCAACACACAGTATTTTCATGGGAGAAGAACACTGAAGAACTGAAGCCTGACACTAGGCAAGGCCTGCTATCTCTACATTTTCGCCTCTTCGCTCTTCTTTCACAATTGGTTGGAGAGAAGACAGAGGTTAGGAAAGAGGTAACAACAGCTGCAACCTGGCAATCGCCATCCCTTTTCACCGAGCCCACGCGTGGAGCTGTGCTCTTTGCTCTGCTATAAACAACAGTGCCCCAGACCCTGCGGTACCCAACCGATTGCAACTTGTCCCCTGAACCTCCTTGCTCAGCCTACCTATTCTACTGCTGTTCTCTCCTTCACCCACCTAAAATCCCCAACCTGGGAAGCTGATCCATGGCATAATGAGGTCACAGCTCTCAGATGCACAGAAGTCAGTGCACTCTGAATTATCTTTCTGCCCTGATTTTTTTTTTATGATTTTTTTAAATGATTTTTTTTTTAAGAGTAGAACCAGCTAAACAAGTTTACTCAGGGACACTGTAGGGGCCATCTATGTAATAAATTTACTTCCCATAGCTATCAATACAGCATTGAACACCATTTACTGATGTTGCACGGAAGGGATATCAATAGGTTTTTGAAAAGCTCAGCTACAAGACTGATTGGGAGCTGCAAATCACAGAAACAGCCAAGCAGATATATTTTTGAGGCAGACGTTAGGTACAGAGAAATTAGCTACAATAGCTAGCATGAAAGTACAAATAGATTTTAGAGGAGGTAAGTCTCCCCCGCCTCCCAAGTGAAAAAGCCTGAAAGAATAACCTTGGCATATTAAACAGAAGATAAAGTTCTGGCAAACAAGGCATATGTAAGATGCCATACCAGCACGGGCACAATAAACTACTGGCTAAAAACAGCAATAAGAACCTCTAACAATTTTAGAAATTGCTAGAAAGAAATCATGTTGTTCCTGAAGTTCCATGCACAGTCTTAGACTACTAGCCAGCAAGGGCTTTTTTATACCAAATCACTTTGAAAGGTAATCCTGAACTTGAATTTCAAGCGGATTCCCCTAACTTCATAAAGCTGTGTCTATGCTTTCTGTCAAAACTGAAACTTAAAGTTTCATCAACAAATGCAACAAGAAGTATTCTAATGAAGATGAAAGGGAAGTACGAAACCAGTGGGGTTACAGAAAGCACTAAATTCAAAGCTAGAAAAGACACTTATGAAGAACTAGTTCAAAATATGAGACAGTGAGTACTCACCACTGAAAAACCACCGTAACTCAGACATGGAATCTCATACATCACGGCCATTAATGCAAGATGCCAGTGGGAAGGGCTGATATTCTCTCTGACACAACCAGATCACTAATAGATTCTTAAATTCGCATGCTAAGAAAGTTACTTCTCAGCCACCAAAATTAAAACATGGCCTTAAAACAATTAGAATGCACAGTCTTCTAACACAGAAGTTAGTCATGAAGCAACTATGAATGCCCATCAGGTATCTGTGAACTTTTGATGCTGTTTAACAGTGACTAAAAGGTCAGTGAGCAAATGGGGCTTCACACCGCAATTCAGAGCGGGGGCCCAAATTCTAAGTATGCAAACCCACAGTAACTTAAACCCATTTAAATCGGAACTACTACAACCAAGGTCTTCCTCACCAGTGATCACAAGCTCTACCCTCCTTCCTGCACTGACAGTTTTGCATATACCAGGGAGTGAGCACAAATCCACCATCAGAAAACAAAATTATTAGTTCACTTCTGGATCAGCCCTCTGAACCAGTTCCCTGCTTGTTAAATGACAGAAAACCAGTTACCTTTACACCAGGATAAGCCACCAAAAAAAAAAAAAAGTTATCCCCAGCTACCATGTTGCCTGTCCCCTTTTTTTCTTTTTTGGCTTGGTTAGTTTTAAACTTAGACTAATCCTCTGATACAGTTCAAATGCACCAGGAGACAGATAAGACCAATTCCTCCCAGCAGTAACGCCAGTTTATGCTTGTAACATAAAAAGTAACACTTTAACACTACTCTAAAAAGATGTGTATATATGTTTTAGATCACAAGGTCAAAGTTTACAAAAACCAAATTTTTTTTCCTGTGGTAATTCACAATGAGCAATTCTATCAACTTTTTTATCTACACACAAAAAGAGGACAAGTGACTTGGCAGTAGCTCATTAAATCTTTTAATGAGTCTAAAGGAATAGCTTTTCGGGCAATCAATCAGCATGTGGAGCACAAAAGCAAATCACGGACATCAGGCAAAGAACAAAATTACTGCCCTGCCTCATATAAACCCTCGTAACATTTCTTCATATTCCTTTACACTTGGATCTACAAAAAACAGCCTAAAGTATCAAGGCAGCATTGCTGCTACTACCCCTATCCAACATAATTTAAAACATGGTTTTGTTTCCTTTAACATTGTAAATATTCAGCTGTGTATTACTGGGTTTTTCTTCCTGCTCTCCAGCACATCTCCCTCAGTTGACTAGGTTCACATTAGCTGTCACTTAGTCAACTTACATTTTTCTTTTCTGGAATGAATTCTAGAGAAGTCACTTAGACCCAGGCAGGTGGCGAGTTTTTCTGTTTCCAGTAAAACCCACTGGGAGTTCAAAATTCTCATAATCACACAATCAAGTCTTCACTCTGGTACTATCCATGCATGGAAAGAATCATTCATCTCATTCACAACATTTCTTCCCCCAGAACAAATACACACTACACGGGAGCATGAGAAAAGTGTGTACCAAGCCCCCAACTCGGATGGGCCTAGACCATTAACTTAATAGCCTATTCTGTGGAAAATCCAGTTTGCTGAGCTTGCAGACCTACATCCTTCCACTGCAACACAGGTGCTTTATTTCAAAACTCAGATTTTCACACTGACAGGTTTAAATTAGATGAAGACACTTTAAGGTTAAGAAAGAGGCCTAAGAACAGCTGAAAGGAAAAGGAAATGCAGACTGGAAGGGCAGGCAACACCCTAGATTTGTGCTTATCTCCAACGACACAGCAACTGAACGGCCCTGGTCTGCTCTAGAACTGCAGAGCCAGCCATCTCCCCAAAAGATGCCAAGGTGATGGAGTCTTAAGCCTTACCAAGAGATAAGGAGGCTAAGTACGGAAAGTTTGTATTCTAGGTATTCCATACTACCAAAACAAACACTGAAGTTATATTTAATATTTCAAACCACTTTTGTCTTATTAGTCATTGTAAAGCTAGAAGTGTTGGATCAGTTTTATATACTGCATGTACTCCAGTAATGATTTTCAGAAGCACGAGCAGAAAACTTTCAACTCTAAAGTTATGTTTAAAAGAAAATAAATAACTTACATTAAAGCTAAATTCTGGTGAATCTAAAAAAAAAAAAAATTATGTGACACACACAGTTTGTTAACCAATGCAGAATCAACTATGGCAAAACTAAACAGATTTCAGATTGTGACCTTCAAAAGGTCTGCTCTATATTCATGTTTTAGAAAAAACAACATCCTTACTAGTTCTGGCAAAGGAAATCCAAAATATATCCTGTGCCAACTGTGCTAAGCTTTTAAAACAAGAAATGTTTAGAATTACAATTCTGATTACAGAAGCTCAATTTTTTCAAGGATGGCATACTTATCTAAAAAATATTTAAAAAAAAAAAAAAAAGCTCAAGAATACAAGCTGGACTATAGTCTGATATTTACAAAAAGGGTAAGCTGCTTTGCTTTCTTATACAGCCAGCAGAAAAAACAGGAGTTTGAAAGACTTCTTGTCGTGCTAAGTCCAAAATTAAAACATAATGTTTTTCCCTTTCATTTTTATTTCTGTTTTGCTAGAAAAAAATTCCCTGTCAGCATCCACATTTATGGCATGCTCATGTTGCTCTGAAAGAGAGGAAGAAAATAGAAGAGCAGAAGTCAAAGCAACAAATCCATTTTCACTTTGCAAACCAGGAGAATCTCTACACATGCATGTGTAACAATTTCTACGCTGAATCAAGTCCAAAAGTTCATCTACTTGCTGTCCCATTATCAGCTATGGTCAATTAGATACCTAGAGAAGAGCACACGAACTGAAACCACAGTGCAGCTTCTCTGGACACTCTCCTGGTTGTCAACCATTTGTGGCTCAGACTTCCTCAGCCAAAGACAATTTACATACATCAAAGCCCTCAGTGGTTTTTCCTTTTCTTGCTGCGGCTCTTTTTTTGGATGAAATTGTGAAGTCTCTGTGTGTAAACTTTCAGCACCCACAACATCTTACTGAAAGGAATTCTTCAGGTTAGCTACATGTATGAAGGACCACCTCTGTAAGTTCATTTTGAACCTGTAACCTACTGATTTAATTTAATATTTACTCATTTGCATGCTTGCTTGGAGTGATCAATTGATTTCCCCACAGAACCTTCTCCACAGAAATTTTACAGATCCCTACCATACACCCACTCAGCCCGCTCTTTTGCAGGCAGAGAAGTCCTAGTCTACTTGTTTCTCACACCCCATAAATGCAGTCTTCCCAGTACCTTCAAAAGCCTGTTCTAGCTCTACTGCATCCTTTTCAACATGGAGTGGAAGACAGTGGAAGAACCAGACCTGCACTTATAATTGAAGATCTGAGAACAGTACAAAACAGCAGCATAAAAAGAAAAAATTGTGCCTGTAAAGTTTGCCAATTTGTATATAACACTGCAGCTGATTAAAACACAAATGAGGAAACGTATCTAGAGCTGACAATCCTAAAGACATAACCATCTTCCTCCATAATTCCTTCATGAGATTCTGTTCCAGACAGTTACAAATCCTTGCAATACTGACACACAAATATAATCACTTCAATGCAATTACTATTCATCACCATTATAGTATTTTTCACATCTAAATTAAGCTCATTCAAGAAACTCTGTTCTGAAAAGACAGACAGATGGGAAGGCCATCTTAAAAAAAGAAATTCCTTGACTCTTTTCCAAGCCAAAGTTTACACCCTCAGTTTAGCAAGCAAAAATTAAGGGCAGAGCAATTCCAGCTGGGATGTGTCCTGAAACACATCCTGTGATGCATTTTTGCTTTCTGTTAATCCATCAGTAACACATATCTACTTCAAATCCCTGATATCCTGCATACCAGCAACCAGTGGCGTTTGTACACTGTATACCTACTAACCTATAAAGTTGCAAGGAATGTCACACAGTCATTAACAGAAGATCTACTGCACAGCGAAGCTAGTATCTACAGCGCCAAGGCTGAAATACCCAGTATCAGGGTTTTCCCCGCCTCAGTGAACAGTACATTATCACCTCAGTGTCAATCCCATTTCTGCTACTTTCAGTGCATACAATTGCTTAAAATTAGGTTGTTCTACAGTAAAGTAGTAATACGGTGGCCCAGCAAATCTCCCCCTAGAAAGCAGCCAGTAAGATAACTCCAGCCTGAGAAGGTAGCTTAAAATAGAGACACAGTGTGTTGCTCAGATATTAGCTGGCCCCTAATTTTGTATCCAATGCCTAGATTCCTACACACACACACTCTGCACAAAACATTTCTAAAAAAGGGTTCTGTGGTGATTACCAGCAATGTATTTACTTTTAGCTTTTTTTCAGTACTTTATCCCACATTTGACTATTCTGTGTAACAGACAAGAAAGACTACATGAATGAAACGGCAGGAAGCTTTTTTGAATTATTTCTACTAATACCCAAAGAAATAAGGTCATGCATCCCTGAAATACCGAGAAGTGAATTACACAGCTTTATACAACTCCCTGCAGATTTCAAGGGCTTGCATTATAAAATTAAATTAGGTATTTCCTGCCCCAGAATACACACACTTGTAATATAATGATCCTGAAGTCATTCAACAGGTTTATCACAGACAGTTGAGAACACTTCATTAAGATACTTTGCTCACATGAATATACAGTCTAAAATATTTGTTAGAGAGATACAGTAATACTATGTACACTAAGCCAGTGAACAGAAGTTGGCTGAAGTTGTTCCTATTTCTTCAGATATGTCAGTTTCATCTGACGATTAAGTACTTTGGCTTGAGACATATGATATTCATCTAGAGAGCTACAGTGTTAATAACAAAAGCAGTGTATTGTTCACAAGGTCACAAAGCAAAAAATAGGCTGCATTTGAAATTAACCTCCAAGTTTCACCCAAAATTTTTTTAAAAATCCTACCTTCATATTTATAATTTGAGTATAAAGGATAATTTTATAACACAAATGCTGAAAGACTTACATTCCCTCTATTAACAGTCCTAACATACTGAAAAACATAGCTGTGAACTATACCACACCCTCCCCTGCAAAGCTACCTCTCTGTACACACTATTTGGTCTTTTCTGATCCACAGGCTCAACAAAGTTATTCTCACAACCCTCCGGAAGCTACATGTCTTTGCATCTTTCCACTCCTTCAAGATGCAGATCTGGAGACAATGAAGTTGGATGCACCTGTCTTTGAATGCCTTGTTACTAGATATTCCACAGAAAAGAGAGTCCTTTGAAGGCAGAATTTTTCATAAGTCAGATGTTACTTATTAAGTACATTAGCTCTGCTGTGCACTTGATCAATTTAACTCATTTAATACCCACTTCCCCCCACAATCTGCACTGTACCCAGATTACTCATTTTCACTCCTCCTGCTCCAAGAAAAAACAAGCCTCTTTCCACTCCAACCTGTGAAAATCCAAACCAACCACACACCCCTTGATTCCACATCAAATCCATTATCAATATCTTTCCTATGTCTTCTACAGGATAGGATCGGAGTTGTACCTAAGGCTCCAGTTCTCCTCTGTGAAGAGGAGATCTTCCACGTCAAACAACTTCTCTTACCAAAAAGTCTCTAAGGTAGCTTGTACTTTCTCTCATTGGCTACCGAAAACAGAAGGCAAGCCTGACAACTGGATCCACCCCAGAGAAACAGCACAAGTACAGATTAAATCCCTCCCTGAGAGCCCTACAGAAGGTATCTTGCATTCTCATGCTGCCAAGGTACATCCTGAGGAGCACAGTGCATTCCCACTCACAGGAGGCTGGCATGAGTCAACCTGGGAAAACAGCTCTCCACAGGAAATTACCATAAAGGTGATTTGTGTCAACTCTTTTAAGTTGTTCTGAGACCAAGACATGACAAGGGGTAAGGGAGGGGGATGTACCTAAATTAAAGGTGGCTGAAGTGCTTATGGAATCAAAGGATGACCAACAAATGCTTAAAAAGAAGTGTTTAAAGAAATAAATGGGAGAGCTCCATTTCAGGACATGAAATCAGTGCCAGTCCCACACCAACGCCACCATCTCACCTCTCCCACGGCCACGTTTCCCACGATCTGAGGGCCTGTCTCCTTGATTGTTGTCCACTCCATTCTCTTCAGCTCTAACTGTGGAGAGAGGACAGCTTAAGAGAAGCTTTAGAGACGCATACGTGAGACAATATAGCCATCTGCTTAACCTAAACTCCAAAAGAAAAGGCAAGATTTTAAAGTGTGGTCCACAGATCTCAGTCAGCCCTCTTCTTTGGGGGCCTAGCTACAAGAAAGTTAAGTTTGCTTTGCACTGGACAATTAGGAAGCAAAATATCTAATACAAGGGAAACGTCCCTCATCAGACACACTTCTGGGTTTTGTTGTGGTTTGGGCTTGGGGTTTTTTTGGGGGGGGTGGGACACAAAACGGGACAGTGCAGTGTTTTGCAGCCTACACTATTAAATTAATTATGGCCTCAGCTCTTTAACGAGTTAGGAAATACAGCTGCTTCATACTACACTTCCTTGATAACGCACTGGGTGGCAACAGTGAAAGAATAAGGGATAACCAAGAACACCAACTCCTCTGTCTGCCTATACCACATCCCTGTGCAGCCAAGGAAACTTAAAAGAACCCTCCTCTGTATTTAAAACAGAGGGATGACCACTGGGTGAAGGTGGGGCATTAGAAAAGCACTGCAACTTAACTATTTTGTGGAACTCCTGAGGAGGTACTCTGAAAGATGGCTGGCTCCTTAAAGGAAGGAAAAAAAAAGACTGGCCACTTAAAACACTGCTGAGATTTTGCACTGCACAACTTCTTCTAATGGCAGCAATAAAATCATTAATGCTTGGACACAAAGCTGGGAAGAGAATATCAAGATTTCGTAACCATCTGAAAAATCCTTAATTCCTGTTTACAAAAAGAGACAAGCGGCATCTGGCTCTGGCAAAAATTTGCCCCTCACTTTCATTTTGATGGATCCAATTTCAATTTGTTCTAAGCATAGCTGCAAGTTTTATTAATATTTTTTTCTATCTTGAGGTTCCTCTATTCTACAAAGGTTCACAAAGTCTTCATTGGCACAACATTTGAATATATTCCAATAACGAATTAGAAGAGTTGGCTAATATTGTAAATATTTTTCCCACTTTTAAGTGAAAAGCTAAACATAATTGTTTTCATTCCAGTTTCTCTGCTCATCTATCAGTGTTGTGTCTGGCCCTTACAGACAATGTATGCAGCTTTGATACTGCTGATAAAACTTAGAGAAAAAAGCAACTTGTATCCAACAGTGATCTAATGTGAATCCACCTAAGGTGGAAACATCAGTTTGCTTTTGTACAATGTATTACTGCACCTGTATAAACTGTAGCAAATTTTTAAATGTTTCAACTCAAAGAATTTTCTCTGTTGTAGAAACTCACCTTTGGTTGGCTTATGTAAGTAATATATGCTAGAGATTAATAATGATCCCAGTCTTTCCATTCCCCTTATGAGAAGATGAGAACACCTTCAGGTTCTCCCACTCATAAAAGGAGATGGAGTGAAAGCTGGATAATTTTTTTCATTAAAAGAAACAAAAACGTGTATCAGCTGTGCAGCGACATACTTGCTCTCAAGCAGTCTTACAAAGAGTCAATTCTGAAACTTAAAGAACAGCAATTTGTACAAGATCAATTAATCAAAAAAGGACAGAAATTTAAATTAAACTGAGTGTCTCTGAACCAGCACAGACCATCCCAAAACCAATTCATGTAGACAGATCAAGCATACCTGTCACACAAACAAGTTATGATCCCTTCCACGCTGAGCTACAGCTCAGATGAACTTGTATCCATTGAGCACTCACTTTTAACTCAGCCAGTTTCAGCTGCAAGAAAAGTGTCTGAATCTTTAAAAATGAACCCCTATACATACACTCTCGGCCACGGCTGCCTCCTCTTCCCCGTCTGTTGGTACTTCCCCGTCCACGACTCACTTCTCTGTCCCCTCGTTTTTCTCTGTTCTCTTTGTTTTCCAAACTTTCCTTTCCAAGGCTTTTCTTCTTTCCCCCTACAGTCTCCCAAGAAGTCTATTTGGGTAGAACAGAATTAGATACAAAAGTCAAAAAGGAAGAGACAGCTCTCAATGCATACTTCCACCTCACACCACTCCAGTTCATGGAAAAAAAATGGGTATTTGCATAACATCGTATATGTAATAACTTGCAAACTACACTGATACAAATGGAAACACAGGCTGTATTTTTGGGAAGAGATGAGAAAGAAACAAATTTTAGAAGTCGGATTGTCTTACAGAATGTAAGAATCCCAAATATTTCTGGCTATAACGGACTTTTACTAGTTCAAGGAAACCTAGCTATGACCGCAACACAGAAAATCTGCAAAGCAAGCAACAGGTTCCCTCTCTACTACCTCCATAAATCTAGCAAGGGAGCATGCACAGAGCTATCTTTTTCTCCCAAGAAAATGAAAAAATGCTTATAAGCATCACTGAACAAGGGATTGATGAGAATAAGTATATGAACTAAGCGTGGGTGGGAAGAAAAACCATTATCCAGATGTACTAGAATTCAAGCACCAAGAGACAGAATGGCAGAACAACAACTTGCAAAAACTGGGGCTGTGATAAGCCAGACCATCCACTCTTAACAGCTACAGCTCATCACACACAGCAAAATACAGGAGAAACTATGTCTGAACAACACAAGGGACCAAGGTCCAAACATCAGGCTTCAGCTTCAATATTAAACTCCATGTTTAAAATAAATTCAGGGATCGTATCAGCTCCATAGGAGTATCTGTAGGAGTTGAAAATAAAATGACTAAAACACTTGCTAAGAATAGCACAGCACCTCATATATTACGCAATCAGATGGTTAAGTCTATTGAGCCATAGTTGCAAAGCAAAGAACTATCATACGGCTTTACCTGTCATAGCCTGTGTAACTGCATTACACAATAAAACACTCCTAGAGCTTTAGAGACACTTCACAGGAGAAAAGATAACTGCACTGACAACTGAAAAACTAAGTTATAGAATCACAGAATCATAGAATCGTTTAGGTTGGAAAAGACCTTTAAGATCATCCAGTCCAACCATTAACCCACACTACCAAGTCTACTCTAAACCAATCAAGGGTAGACTAGACTAAACCATGTCCCCAAGTGCCACGTCTACCCGTTTTTTGAACACTTCCAGGGATGGGGACTCCACCACCTCTCTGGGCAGCCTGTTCCAATGCTTGACCACTCTTTCCGTGAAGAAAAAAACTAATATCCAACCTAAACCTCCCCTGGCGCAGCTTGAGCCCATTTCCTCTCATCCTATCGCTAACTACATGGGAGAAGAGACCAACACCCACCTCACTACAACCTCCTTTCAGGTAGTTGTAGAGAGCAATAAGGTCTCCCCTCAGCCTCCTCTTCTCCAGACTAAACAGCCCCAGTTCCCTCAGCTGCTCCTCACAAGCCCTGTGCTCCAGACCCTGCACCAGCTCTGTTGCCCTTCTCTGGACACGCTCCAGCACCTCAATGTCTTTCTTGTACTGAGGGGCCCAAAACCGGACACAGTATTCCAGGTGCGGCCTCACCAGCGCCGAGTACAGGGGAACAATCACCTCCCTGCTCCTGTTGGCCACGCTATTCCTGACACAAGCCAGGATGCTGTTGGCCTTCTTGGCCACCTGGGCACACTGCTGGCTCTATACAGTTCAGAATACACTATTTCACTGATGGGCACAGCTCCAAAAGATCTTTGACCATTTTAATTAATACCCAAAACTGGATGATCCTGCAAAGCTTAAGAGGAAGCAGCCTCTCCTTAGTAAGGTTTTGCATGACTTGGGAGGATCAGTAAAAGGACCACTATGGATCCAACAGATTCATGCTTTCCCACAATAATTTTGAAGAAAGCCTTGAGAAGTTGGGCAGGTCCTTTAAGATAGAGGGTGATGCTACCTCTGGGCATGGGAATCCATCACAGACTATCAAAGCTGCCTGGTTTTGGAAGAGAGCTAACTGATTACAATTTCATCTGACAATGCCTGAAGCAACCCAAATGACAGTTGTGGGCCTGACCTTCAAAAATGTGTAACAGAAGCCTTCTTGCTGGCCTGATCTTAGATGGAAAGCAGAATAATCTGAAAGGTCCTCTTTGTTCTGTCTTCAAAGGTTTAGGAAGTAAAACATGGTTGGGCATAAAACGGATCTTACACCTGTAGGAAGTTAAATGAATAGAAGTCTCAGGCAAAGAAACATGCCCTCCTCTACTCTCATCCACAAGCCTCTTACCTATCCAAAGCCAGACTGTCACAACTATTGCAAGTGAAAAGTCTTCATAAACACTAACAGTCACACAGCATAAAGCCTTAAAGATCACAGCGTTAAAACAAACAAACAAACAAGACTGGCAGAGTACCAAAGAAATTATAAACAGACATTCTAGCTATCACTCCTTGCTCTTCTAATTTCTCAAATTAGATAGATGCATCTTCTTCCAAATGAGGTTAAAAAAAAACTTCTAGTGCATCAAAGCAGAGTGAAACTAGAAAAAGAGATTTGGAAATCTGCATTCAGAACTAGTTGTACCTCTGCTTCCAGCTTTACATCAAATCCATGGTTAAACTGTCCTGCAGCATAATGGCCTTAAAACAAACCCTTCAAGTTAGAGGCCCACAAATTTCCATAAAGAAGAATAAATTTCTTCATGCCCTTCAATTAAAGGGCTCAAGGAGGAACAAGTATTAAGTTCTCTGTTTCTGAGTCGCATTTTGTCTACAGAGAGAGCAGGGGGTTCAGAGGGACTTGACAAAAGAGCAGAACAAATGGGTATGTTGCTTCTGATTGATAAATGAGTTCAGAAAGTCTTTTTCGTGTCATGATCACTTACAACAATTTGCTAAAGTAAGGAAGCATTTAACATACTCTATCAACCAGAAAACTATTTTCAACTAGAAAATGGCAAATACAAAAAGTACAAGTGAACACAATACCAGCACATTAATAAGACAGATTTATCAAGGTGAGATGTTCTCTTCTACTCCCAACTTGCCAGCTTACTCGGTATTATATACTTTTGTGTTTTAGGTGACCTCAACTCTTCCAAATAAAAAGGGGATAGAAAAGAAAGTCCCCTCAGTCAGAACGGTATGTGTCCTAGATTTAGGGTGTGTGTGGGGGGGGTGTTTCCTCATTAACAATAAGCCAGAGTACACATCCTGACAAATCACAGGAAATACTGTATGTTCAGCATTAAGAAAGGAAGTCCAGGTTTCTTTCCCAACTTAGATGAGATGAAATCTAGTTTACTGCCTAGAATAAACTGTAAGAAATCCCTCCAGTGAAAACATATTTTCCTGATATCTCTGGGATAAAAAAATTGCTCCGTGCAACATTATAAGCGACATTAGTTGTTGTTATATACTGTACTGGTTTTGGCTGGGACAGAGTTAATTTTCTTCACAGTAGCTAGTTCAGGGCTGTTTTGGATTTGTGCTGAAAACAAGGATGACAATACAGGGATGCTTTAGTTAGTGCTGAGCAGTGCTCACACAGGATCAAGGCCTTTTCTGCTCCTCACCCCACCCCACCAGCAAGCAGGCTGGGGGTGCACAAGAAGCTGGGAGGGGACACAGCTGGGACAGCTGACCCCAGCTGACCAAAGGGATATCCCACACCATATGACATCATACTCAGCATATAAAGGTGGGGGAAGAAGAAGGAATGGGGGGACATTCAGAGCAATGGCATTTTGTCTTCCCAAGCAACCATTACGTGTGATGGAGCCCTGCTTTCCTGGAGATGGCTGAACACCTGCCTGCCAATGGGAAGCAGTGAATGAATTCCTTGGTTTGCTTTGCTTGCATACGCAGCTTTTGCTTCACCTATTAAACTGTCTTTACCTCAGGCCACCAGTTTTCTCCCTTTTACTCTTCTGATTCTCTCCCCCATCCCACCGAGGGGGGAGCAAGCAAGCAGCTGCGTGGTGCCGAGTTGCTGGCTGGGGTTAAACCACAACTTTGTTTAGTCTCCTCTTTCTGTTTTTCAATAGTCATGCAAATAAGCAACACAGTGAAAGCAGCAACTACTTGCTGCATACTCTTCTGCCATTAGTAGTGTTGTCAATGCAAATTTCAGATGTAGAAACCTCCTCCAACTTCAATACTGGCAATGCACACTTACAGAATTTGCATGACAAAGTATCTGCCTCACCTTTAGGTTTATAAAGATTGCCCTTCCTGGCACACACTTAGACTCAGGTCTCAGGGTTGCAGAGTTGCCACAGACTAACTACAAACACTGAAGAAAAAAAACAGGCCCACATCTGCCAGAGCACTGAGTTCTGCTTCAGTTAAAATTGCTGTGTGCAAATGAAAGCCAGAGGACTCTGCAAGAGACCAGATGAACACCCACAACATTTTCAAGGTTCATCCTACTCTAAGGTGTGCATGCAGTAGAGAAGCTGCCCGGGTGTCCATTGCCTTAAAAAGAATACGAATGGAGACACGGAAATCAAAAGATTCCAAAATACTACTTTCCCAATCACTTCTTAGGAGTAGAAAGATGCAGCAAACAGAAAGAGAGGTTTATGAAAGTAAAACCTTACCGTGTCTGAACTTCCTTCCAGCAGTATGTTGATTGCTCTGTTCACGTCCCCATTACAATCATGTAGTGCCACTATGCACTCATCCTGGTTTTTCCCCGTCACTTCCATAAGCTGGTAGTAAAAGTCAGACATGTTAAAATATCTAAATTATCATCAGAAGAAAATAAGAGTTAGGACCACCACGGATTCCAAGAAAGTGCATAGCTACTGTGTCAGAGCAAACTAAAATCCTAAATAAAGGTATCTGCATTTTACAGATCTGCTTGGGATTCAGACAAGAGACAGGATAAAACACAAATTAAATGGTAATCAAGAAAGCACTCTCTTTTACACCTTCTTCTTTTCCCTTCATGCTTGCAGCAAATGCTGTCACCCCAGAGACAGCAGTATATGAGGGTAAAGATGTAAAAGACCAGGATCGCTTCAGTATCATCCTCTCCCTCTCCCCACTAAACATCCCCCTTTTTATCCCACTGTGTGAGAACACCATAAGGTAAGGCATGGCAGAGAACAGATCCACCTGGAAAAACATACACACTAAGAAAAAGGTTATTTTTCAGCCAGATCAGCTCCCTCAATCCATTTCAGCATAAGGCCACACAAAATGCATAAGCGATGGCTGCTTAAGGAGACCTAGTACTGAATTATGCTCTGTGGACGTGCGGTGCACATCCTGAGGAGTGTGGGATGGAAATAATCACAGTCTGTCATGGGACACACCCAGGAACTTCGCTCAAACAGAAAAAAAGCTATATGAGCTAGAAATACATATGCACAATGTAAAATATTGCAGATCTCCTATGCAGAACTTAATTCTTATCCTTCCCACCAGCAGAGCTACAGGCACTATTGATGAGGGTCCTTTGGCTTCAGGAAGTACAAGACTTCACTTCTGGCACAGCAACAGAACAAGTTTATAACCAGAACAACAAAAAGCACTTAACAGTGCTTCAGAGGAGGTTTTACAAAGGAAAAGATATCAAGAAATCTGCTCCTCTGCTGCATTAATGCATTTATGCTAATTGTTCTCTCCTTCTGGGTGTACTCCTAGGTTCTTTGTGAGTTGTGATGTGTTCGCTTGGACAAAATCACTGATACCCACAGCAGAACAGGGACCCAGATTCTCAGTACTGCTTGAATTAATGGTCTCAGCTATAACTGAGTAACAGAAGCTCGAGCATCTACACCTATAACTCAGCATGGTAGAGGAAATGGTGTGAGATTTCATTTTCACAGGGTAATTCAATTATTTGAATGCATACACAGATCTGGGAGGTCAGATTTTTTTTTTTTTAAATAGCACTTCAATTCACCTTTAATTTACTTTTCCTGAAAAAAAGCCAAGATATTAGCAAACTCAGTTTATACAGGTGACGTATTTTTCCCATGTGCATGTACATGTGGACAAGCTGAATGCACTCTTTATTCTGACAATCATTAAGTATCAGGACCATAACTATCTGGAAGAGACATTAGCACAGATGAGTTTTGGCTTAAAGGCTTGTCTACAAAGGAAAATACACCAGTGTAACTACACAGCCAGAGCTGTATTACCACACAATTTCTTGTACTTTACAGTGCAATAAGAGCACCTTTTCCTAGTAAACTTACATCCTTCTAAAAAAGGTTTAATCTAAATCAGAAACAGACGCTCTAGCTCCAAAACGTAAGCCAGCTTTGGAGCACCTTATTGCATGGCATAAAAACTCTGTACCATAGAAACATACTTGTTTCACTTTATCTTCAAAATCTGCGTCATTCTTATCGTAGATCATCTGAGCAAGGCGAATCTGTTCTGCTGTTGCCTGAAAAACGCAAACATCCAATAAAGTACACGGAAGGTAACAATACACTTTTTAAAGTATCTCCTAGTGTCACTATAATTTTTTCTCCAGATTCGCAAAAAGAACATACGCAACAAGCACAGAGGTGCTATGGGGAAGGGATTAACACCTCATCTATGCCCATTTTATAGTTAAAAAGTTAGCTGGGACAGAAGCAATTTCAACACGTTCTCATGTGTTTGAACCACAGTTAAAGGTCACCGCATAGACAAGACAACCATATAATAAAACAGAATTTACCACAGAAGCCTACGCTTTGATATTATTACTTTTACTTTTATTTAGTATCTACCATTCCAGAGTTAGAATTTTATTGTAACAAACTGGCAACAGTATTTCTAAATTAACAACATCTCTGATGATTCCTGCTCACATCACCTTCCATGATTCTCCCAACAACAACCTGACTCTAGTTTTATGAGCACTTAAAAAGAGACTGAGTCATGCCTCAAGATTTTGCCTGTGAACAGCTGCACTTATTTTCTTTATAGTCAAATACTGATCTCTGAAAACTGCAAAAGGATCTTGCTATTGATGAAATATTTGGTGCTTCTGTAACATTTCTGGACCACAAATCCATGCTGGCAACTTCTCCAAAAGCTGAAAGACTAAAATGAATGGATGCAGTAAAGTGCCATAAATCCAAATAGGCTATGGCTGCCCCAGAGCGAAAGCAACTCAAGAACGCTAATGTCTCATCGTACAGGCCACTCTTCATAGTGCAGCATTTGCAGTCTACTTGAACTGCACTCCCATGAAAATACCAAAGATAACTGTATGCTACATGATCCTGGACCGAATGTGATTTCTGCTCAAAGAGAAGAGGCTACTGTCTTGTGCTAGAGAAGGCTGATACTGAAGAGAGCCAGGATGACCCAAAATGCAGGCTGATGTGCTGCAGAAGACTTCTTCACTGAGAAGAGGACCGCCTCATGCACTGAAACTCTTGACAGAAAGGATTCATCCTGGGCAGCTGGTTGAATCTCACCTTTCAGTCTCACTTCACAGGATACCCACACGAAATTCTGTGTCTCATGAGCTCAGATTTAATCAGCCTCAATCAGCCTCAAACTGCTTCGTTTTTGGAGTTTACCACAAATACAAGCTCTAGAGGAGGTTGCCAAGAGTAAATGCTGAGAAGAGTCTAAAAATTACTCCACCGTACACCACCAGCTGCTTATTTTCCAAGAAGTTACTGCAGCTCTCCCAGTTTCTTGAGGCAAGCAACATTTGCCATGCTCAGAGGCGACGTTCCAAGACAATTAGTGTTTGTAACAGAGTTAAGTACTCTGCACTACTTCACATTTTCAAAGTGTCACGCTGACAGCTTCATACGTCAGTCAGTAACACAGAGGAGAGCCTGCTCTGGAATTCCTCATGCCAGGCCTGCTGCTGCCCTCCACGAAAGCCTCCTGGTCAGTGCGGTGCTCTGTGCAAAGGAGCTCCTTCTTGGTGTCTGCTGTGAGCTCAGCAGAGAGCAAAAACAAAAGGTCTGCTGGTTTCAGGAATTAAGCCTTGTTAATCCATCTTCTCATTCTGCCTTTAGCCTCCTCAGGCCTACTACAACTTTTAAGCTAGTGAAGAGATTTCCTTTAAAGATATCCAGAGTAAAAACGTTCAATGTAATTTCTATAGAGACATGACAGCATATTTGACCAGAAACAGGAAGCCATTAAGATTCATTTTTTCCGTAAACCAACTTTTTTTCAAGTCCACGTTAGAAGACAAAAATATACCAATTTTATAACAATATCAAATGTGTGACCGCATCTTCAGTTTTCCTGTGTATGCAGAGAGCTTAGAAACACAAGTAGGCACACATACTGCTAATATTTATGCCAGTGGATTATACCCAGATGGAATTGAAGATTCAGAAGAAAAAAAAAAAAAAACACAAAACCCACAAAAACCCACCAGAAGTGTTTACTACACAAAGGCCATATCATTGTCACAAAAAGTTTTCGTTTTTTCCCAGCAAGTGGTGGTTCTTTATTTTTAAGGCACCATCGTTACAAGTAACACTGTAGTATCCTATAAAAGAGTATAATTAAGTTTTAGTTGTGACTAAGAACACAGTAGCATGTTAAGACACCTAAAACTTCACTCAACCTTACAAGATATATTACCTTTACGGCATAATAGAGTGAAGGAAATTTTTAACCAACAAGTTCAAACTACCAGAAAACAGAAGTGTGCAAAACACAAAATTAAGTGACAGTAATAGGCCCCGATCATATAATAAAAACAGTGTATTTATTACCCAGAAGCAATGCGAAAGAACTGTGATGTAATTTCTTAAATAATGATCAATGTGATATTATTACAATGAAATCTCCATTTGGGAAAGCAACATTATTTTACATTCAGAAGAATCAGTCAGTGGTGATTAAACAGTAAAATCCCACACGTTTCTGTTGATCTTTAAAGCCTGACTAAGGAAGAAGGTCCATCTGATATCTGAACAATAAAAAAATATGTTGCACTAAAACATAATTGCTGTACATTAAACAACCATCTTTTCCACTGAATTGACCAAACCAGTATCTATTATGCAAGAAGTAGAATCAGTGGACAAAATGCAGAAAAAGGTCTGTAAGACTTAATGCTTAAAATCAATGAATCACATAGGTTGGAAAGGTCCTCCAGGGATACTCAGTGCAACCTCCCACTGAGAGCATGTCCCATCAGAGGAGCTGCTTGGGGCCAGACAGAGATCCCACAATCTGTCTAATCCATGACCTTGTTCATGGTAAACAGTTTTCTTCCTTTTAACAGCTGGAATTTACAGTGTTCCAGCTTGTGCCATTGTCTCTCTGAGAAGAGTCTGACTTCACCTTTTCTATACCCTTTTCATGAGGTGTCTGAATAGAAGACACCACCCTTTCCTTGCCTTCTTAGGGCTGAACAAATGCAGTTCCCTGAGCCACCCCTCATTCATCCTGTGCTCCAGCCTCTCAGCTATCTTCGCAGCTCTTCACTGGACTTGCTCCATCTGTCAATGTCTGTCTTGTGCCAGGGAACCCAAAACTGGGCAGAGTACTCCACTGCTGTCTTGCAAATGTCAAAAAAAGGGAAAACTACCACTTCTGCCAACCTGCTCACTACACTCCTGCAGCCTTATTTGTTATAAAACAAAAAACAAATTCAACTTCATCTGTTGAAAGTCACTTTCTAAATCCACACATTCGCATGAAACATGACTACGCAAAGTGCTGCAGCGCAAGGAGATAAGGGCTTCAGCTCACATAATTAATACTGTACAAAACAGAACAAGAGCCCCTCATGTTAAAGATCGGTCTAGAAAACAATAAAAGACACAATTTCCCAGAGGAGAACCTCTAGATTGATGCACTCTCTGCCAGCAGAGAACTGAGGCAATTCTTGAATTGAGTCCAATTTTGAGAAGTACCTGACAAGAGAATAATGAGTTGCCAGGAGCAGAGACATTTTGCACTCTCTGTAACCCAGACAAGCACACAACTACTCTGCTGCTGAGAATCAAGACAATGGGGTAAGAGCTTAATTTCCATCTCGCAGATACTCAAAATAATTTTAGTCCGCTAGCAGACGGCTACCTTCATTTCACTTTGCGAGGACACTGCACAAGAATTTGGGGATTTTGTGACTTGCAGATATCCTGAATCATGCTGTAGAATATGGCATGCATCTAACAAAGCTTTTCCCACCACCCAAATTCCTCTACCGACCAGAAATCTGCTAGCATCATGAGGATGGCACATGGAAGAGCTGAGATCTGAGGACACTGAGGTCACAGGACAGAAATCCTGACACAGGCGTAGAATTCCTCACTGATGGGAAATCATGTTGCTGAAGAACACAAAGCTCCTTTAGAGGCAAGGATACAGGAACAACTTAATGCTGTGCTGGATTACTGAGCAATTAAAGCGAGATATCAAACATACTCTTCCAAAATAGACCATGATTTCCCCCCCCCATCTCTTCTCAGTTTTTATTGACTTTGGGAAGAAATGTGTATCATTACATGCTCATTTTCAACTCAAAGAAGATTACATAGTAGCACATACCTGTACTACTTGTTTCTGTGGTTGTGTTGGCTGTGTTGAAATTTGTGTTTTGTCCCGAGTGCCCCGGGTACGTTCACTGCCCACCGAAGTCATCATATACAGTATATACAAAACAATGTATGTACAAAATAGAAAATCTGGAAGAAAGAAAAAAAAAAGAGCATGAGTTAAGGCAGGGTACTGATTCAATACCCAGATAATATACAAATGCAGTAGCTTGAACTCTTCCTGCCTTCACCATGAACTCTTCACAGAGATTCCTGAGAAACCAGCTTTAATACACTATTATTGGATTTATCGCAGTCTTTACAGTAAAGGGGGAAATGCAGTGGATAAAAAGCATTTTTATCAGCTGATTGGGATCTGTCTCAATCTGTACTTCCAGATGACATCTACATCTCACAGCTTTTTCCAATTATTTAACATACAGACTTTTCTATCTGCGACTCTGCTGAAATTTCAGCTCCAGCTGTATCACTCCTTAAATTTCTGTAATACCTGCTGTCTTGTTTTGATGCCTGGAATTTAACCACTCTCATACCTCCTCAGAACGCTAACACAAAAATCACATTCACAAACCAGGCAGTTCCTCTCTTCCCCGTCATCAAACTGCTTTCGGCACATATACGGAGGTCGTTGGCAATGCCCACTCTACTTCTCACCTCTCATTTACAAGAGAAATTATGATGCTTGCCTTTAAATCCAGCCTCTGTAGCCAGTATTTTTGTTTTGTTCTCCCTCATAATTACAGAAATGATTTACAAAACTACCTATTACCCTGCTTTAAAACATACCTTTGTCGAAAGGCAACAAAGAAACCCAAAAGAAAACCCAACCCCCGCACACACATCAGCGCTATCCCATTTCTGGCAGTCAGTTTTCATTCTCATTCATCCTCTAGCATTAAAATTACTTTGAAACAACAGACTTATTATTTCCCCTGTTTTTGTACAGCATCTAACACAAGGCTAATTGATGAGTATGGTTTATAGTAGCTATGATAACTGGAAACATCTCTGAACTGGTCAGAATGGTCATGGTCAACTGCCTGGTTTCTGTCCCCATGACAGTGGAAAGTAAAACTGCAAATTTAGGGAACTAAGGACAATCCGCAAGTGGTGCACCTGGGCAGAAGGAGATGTGCAAACAAGCAGCAAAGTACTTTTACTGCAGCCCCAATGTATGAACGTGGCTCAGCACACAACTTGTCAGGGCAGCAGCTTTAGTGCAAGCTGGCTAGCACCGACTTAAACGCACAATAATACTCAGAAGAAAAGCAAGAAAATTGCTGTGACTGCATGGACAAGGACGTGTTCAACACCCAACTGCTCACTAGCACTCACAAGTAATGGATACTCAACAATTAAAGTTGCAATGAGATGCTTCAGCTCAAACATCAATTCACAATGCTCAGAGCCTCATCTAGAATCAAAAAGACAATTAACCCCATTATCACCTACATCTCTTCTTCACTTTAGAAATACATTTTTGTTGGCCAAAATTGAACCCCGACATTCAGTTTCTTTATATGCTAGTTAAAGCATTCAAAGAAGTATGAGGAGAAAGTATATTTCCATGAACTCTTACATATTTAACAAGAAAAGACCTGCCTTTACCAGGAACTGACTGTAGTATGAGCTGAACTGGAACACTGTGTTTCTCCAGTTTTATGAATACATTCACCAAAGCCAATCTGTCTCACAGTCTCTTAAGGTAGTCTAACTTTGCTGTCCTCTAAGCCCCAGAACGCACAGGCCTTCAGAGCACTGTACTTGACATCCTAAAAGTCAGATACAGTCAGAACAGAGGTTATTCAAGCTTGTGACAACATGTTCTATGGAAAGCAAAATATTAAGTAGATGTGGAGATGCTCTGAACAGCAAGTTCAACACTTATCGCTGACTATCTCATCGTGGCTATCTGGTGCACTGGTATTTTAAACACGTCATGGACAGTCTTCAGTTGAGTCTGCAGTAGAAATTACTTTTGCTCTTTATAAGCCTTGCTGACTGGGTGGCCAGCATCCGAAAACTTAAATTTTTATAGAGTAATAATGGACGCTTGGGTTGGTTTGGTTTTTTGGGTTTTGGTTTTTTATTTTTTCATTTTGGGGTTTGTTTGTTTGTTTTTTTTAAGTATTGGTCAGCTCATCATCTAGCACAATGAGCAATGAAAAAAAGCCCTGAACAGAGAACATGACAGAGACCACTAACCTCTCTGAAAGACAAGCTAATAGTTTCACATACAGTCTGCAATAAGCCCACTGTGATTTAAGATATGTTGAGAAATTATAACTCCATTGGGTGTCAATTTTTTCATCATTTCCAAATTAACATCATGTTTACACAGATTCTGGTACCTAGGAATTCTGACATACATTTCAATGCTATTTTCTCTAATTTCACTAAAGCTACTCAAAATATTGCAATCGATATTTTGGACAGGACAGCAGTACACACACATTAAAATAGAGTCTTCCATTTATTTGTAAAGCACACACTGAACTATAACCTACACTTCTGACAGCCAGGTAACCTATGGTACCTGAAGAGGACTGTGTCTTTTCTCCCTCTCCTAACATGTATTTTCATGTCTCTGTGCCACAGCTGCTTAAGCCAGGGATGAAAGGATACTTTAAAGAAAAAGGCAAGCACACAAATGTTTGAAACATTCCCTAGGGATGAAGCAGCACAGCAAGATCAGCCTGCTGGCTGGAACAGAGCCAAACAACCTGAACAGTATAATGGGATCTTTAAAGAAGATCCTCATCTTGCTGACCATGCAGCTCATGAGCAGCACAATTTGGCAACAGGTCCAAAGCAGAAAACCAGCGGAGGCAAGAACCTCCTCCTGGCAGTGGTATGGACTTGCACTTGCTTCAGACAAGTGTGTAAACACACCCTCAGTTTGATGTTCCCCATCAAGCCAACATGTACATGTTACAATCCATTTCAGACACAATCCAGACTTCTTAAAAGCACAACTGGCAGCTTGATATAAAGAGAGCTTCAAAATAAAGCTATTTTATTTCCCGTTAGTTGGCTCCCACTATCTACAGGTAATGCCCAGTCACAGCAACCAGCCCAGCCCCAGCACACACGAGGAGCAGCTGAAGGGCTCTGCTCCACCACCAATGGTGGCCTGACCAGGGAAACATTGCACCTCCCTTCACCGCGCTGTGCTGAGGCTTCACACCCTACCACACCTACTCTTTAGAGTACTGAAGCAGTAGGCAGAAGGGAGGCAGATAGCCACTGCCTTCAAATTACCATAGTGACTACAATTTTGAGCGTTAAGTGGGATATTATTAATTAACAAGATGGGTCTGAACAAGAACATTTCCTTGCTCGCAAAGCAGCTTATTCTCTCCAATCCCTCATGTTAAAAAGGCTGTTTGGCAGGCTGTTGTCATAGCAATGAGTAGGATATCACAAACTGATGAACTTTTAACTGCAGATCAAAGGAGAAAAGAAGATTTGAGACCGGGAGAAAGACAACTCAAGTAAAATCTGTTTACCAAAGATCAAAAAAATATTCAGACAAGCAGATGTTTCAGCTTCCATGTCAGGGTCTGGCTCAGTGCAAAAGTCCCTCATCAGCAGTTAATACTTGACCTTGTAGACACATTGCAACTCTAGTAAGCAGCCAAAACAGCTGTATTTTGAAGAAATAGATACACGTTAAATGACAATGTACTCCCACAGCACTAGCAAAAAAGGCAGAGAAAGCATTAAAGAGACTGGACTTCCCAAAACTGTTGTGTAGAGAAGGTGGTCATACTTTCTTTCATGACAATAAAAAGAAGCAGCACAAGACTGCTGTAAAACTTTCTTTCACTGATGTAATCTAGTGCCTGCAGAGGAAGGTTGTCTTTGCTTCTACCTTAAAAACAAAGAAAAAATCAGAAAAAAAAACAAAACAAAACAAAAAAAACCTTGATCAGTAGTTAAGAAAATTGTTCACTCCAAGTATGTTTAGCTTCTCAAGCACTAAGAAATTCAAGTATCAGCACTTCCTCATAAAGCAAATAACTAGACTTAAACATGGAAAGCAACAGAGGCATTTAAGAGGAAAACAATCCCAAATATCAATGTTTTGTCTGTTTTAGTGTTTCTGTCTGTACAGCAAGTTTAGCCCAAGGACCTACACTACAACAGCAGATAAAGTATTGTATAATAAGCCATCATGAGACTGGTGATGGAATGGCAACAATTATGCTAGTTTCCAAAAGCAGTTGTTCAGTATCAGTATCTCAACACCCAGCTTTCCTAAAGAGACCTAATCCTGCCGCCCGCCCCCCCCAAAGTATCCATACTGCAAGTCTTATTCAACACATTTAGTTGGGTTTCTGCTCTGGACTTTAGAGGGAAAAGAGGAAGGCAAAGAATCAAAGAGTAATTGAATGCCTATCAACACAAAAAGCAGGTTTTTAAAGCTATCATAATGCTTTCTTTGATCTTTTGTTCAAGATTCTTCCCTTTGGCAAGAAATCTAGTCCTTTTAGACTCAACAAGTCAGAAAAGCTAGAGATACACAGAATACAAACTGATTTGACAGGGTGGCAAGCCCCTCAAGACATAGTAAATCCATTGCTGAACTTCCAGGGACAGACCACATACTGCAATAAAACCTGACTTTCAAGAATCCTTCTGAAGTTAAATATTCACTTCCATCAGCTGAACGAAACATTTGCCCTTTCAATTCTTTTCCTGAGGCAGTCTCAGAAAGTTATTTTCTTGACTCTCTGGACAGGGAGCTATGATAAAGAACACTGTGCAGAAATCTCTGTGAACACCTTAAAAGTGTGATTGCTTCTTTATACTCCAATCACAGACCTACCCAGTGAAGGATTTCTCACGACAGGGTGGGGAAAAGGCTGCAGGACTCTGCCTCATGATGGCATGACTACTGTACAAGTCTAGATCTTACTGCTATGGCAGTAGCGTGACATGAGCATTAGGAAAAAGAGCAGAGGAAAAAAATTATTTCTGCAAAGCATTGATGCAGTGCATTTCCCTCAAATTCTGTTGTCTAAAGAATCTCACCACCTTTATTACTGCTTGAAAGGAGAAAAGAGTTTGCAAGAGTAAGATGTTCCTCAGGAGCAGTGCTGATTACTCAG